TTTGAACAATTTTGAATCATGAACACTAAATTGAAAATAATAATAATCAAATATTTTAAATTCTTAACAGGTTATCAACCTCTTGTGGTCTCCGTTCACAAGAACATGCTATGTCTTCTTCTTCTTCTTCTTGTTCTTTTAAAGATGGTCTATCTAAATCAACTACTAAAGGTATAAAAAAACTCAAGTTTTGTCTTTCCATCCACCTATCACCAAAATGTTTTCTTAAAAGCTCCCTGACGTTACCGACCTTTTTTTGATCCAAATCAACTCCCATTTCAATTTGATTTGGTGAGAAATAACTGAATGTTTTCCCTCTTTTTAATAATTACTTTGCAGTCCCAGTGTCAGAATTGTAATAAACCTCTCCACTAACAAGAATTAAATTTCTTTGACTTCTCGATAAAATAAATCTTTTTGCTTGCGAAAACTTAAAGTGCCACGCTTGAACAGGTTTCAAAAATTCTTTAACGCTCAACTTCCAATCTTTTACTTCACAATCCTTGCCCAGCTGCACAACAGTTCCATGCTCCTCAAAAATATTTCTATAAATTTTAGGATCTATAATAGTTGATTCTTTCTTTAAAATTTTTTGAATGCGACCGAATATCCTATCAGATGGGAGATATGAATGTCCAGGCACTGGAAAAATCAATTCTATTGTTTTAACATTCGGAGGTGCCACATTTGCCAAAAAATAAGAACACATTCCTATCATTGTAGAATTCCGATTTTGTCCTCCACAACCATCAGCGCATAGACGTATATTTGAATATGGTGAAAGATCGACTTGTGATAGGCAATGAAACACAGCTGATGATATCTCATTGGAACTTTTTTTATATTCATGCTCCATCCACGTATAAATAAATACGTTTTCTGGGTTCATGTGACTTTTTGAAGAACCTCTTACAATGGTAAAATTATAGATGTATAGCTGCCGGCTGAAGTAGGCAATTTGATCTGGTATTTTTGGTATAACCAAATTTTTTTGGCAATCAAATGAAAATGTAATTAATTCATTTTTCTTTTCTTGTAGTTTTTTGAAAAACGCCGTTGCTTTTAATTTATGAACTCTTTTTTCTATAATTAATTTGTTTTTTTCATTAGGACGCATTTCCTGTTTTATTCTCTCCGACAGTTCGATGCATTTGGAACATGCATCAGTTACCGGAGTTCCAAAGCCAATATTGTAATCATTAGTAAAAATTTTTTGAAAAAATGTTCTTTTTACATGATGTTCAGAATTAACATTGCTGTTATAAGTGCGCCAAAGTTTTGAGATGCTTAATCCGCTAGGCAAATATTGTCTACTATCTGTTTTTGATCTACAATAGTGGCTTTCTACACATTTTAAATTTTCAATAAATCTTTTTACCGCAATTCGTTTCTCAACAAATTTTGTACTAATCCGGTCGCCCCCTCGGTTTTCTTTTGGCATTAGTCCTGTGTTTAAATGGTTTCTGCAAATTCTTTGTACACGATCTTTGGAAACGTGAAGAATCTGAAGAAACGTTTGTTGGCACACTTGAATTTTATATTTTTCATAGCGACATTTTTTCACAAAGTATTTTATTGCCACACTTTTTCGACTGCTTCCTTCTTTTAAATTTCGGTTTTGTCTTTTTGGTTTGTCGTGGCTACAGTATTTTAAAATAAATGCATCCTGCTCAACTTTATTTTTATGCAAATAAAAATTCCGATGAAAATTGTAAATATCCAATCCTGTTAATTTTTTGCAGTGGAAGGTTTTGCCATTGTGCTTGCATATTGGGAAACATGGCAGATTAGGAGAGGAATATCTGAAGGAAATAAAGTTAAATTATTCTGCTGTGTATCATAGAATTTAATTTACTATTCGAAAAAATTAACTTCCCTTGTTAACATGTCGCCGAAAAATTATGAAACGGACAGATCGAGTACTTTTTGTAGAATCTTAGTAAATTCTTAAGAAAAAAGAGCTTACCTTTCACGCTTACTGATTTCTCTTTTCCATTTTGATTTATCGGTTATTTTTTTTCTTCCTTTCCCTTTTTTTGAGGGTAAAATAACATCTTGACTCATATTAGACATAATTTGTATGTACACAACACCAAAAACACGCTTAATAACTTATTAATAAAACAAACTATTAAAAAATTTAAATTTAAAATGGCCGCGTATCAGAACCCTAGCTCACGTGATCGTGAATCGTTATTGCTATTGGACGCTTGGATAAGGCAACTTTTGCCGCGATACTCGCTATAAATATAGCGAGTTTTGCTATGACAAGAAAATTTCAAAATGATTTTAAAAGGGTATATAGCATGTTTTTTAAAAAAATTATGATTGAACGTGTTGAAATTTATAAAAATAATGTATTCCAATATCTAACCAAAATTTTGTAAAAAATGGATAAGACGAGTTTTGCTACTACACGCCTTAATTATTGTAAATTTTTTAATATGATAGATTTTATTATACAGGGTGTATCTGAATGACTGCAACAAACTTCAAGGGGTGATTCTTTAGTGAATTTTAAAGGTACTTTGATATATGAACCATGGGCGACTTCGGCTCCCCTAAGGAGCTACACCCCTTCAAAAATGGCGGAAAATTTTGGTTTAATTTCTTTTTTTCAAAAACCATAAACGCTAGGAAAATGAAATTTGGGGAATATGTTTAACTCATAATAGGGCACGTTTTGACCCTATTTGTACTTTCAATCTACCCTTCTAAACTACTAAACGTAACCACCCCCGTTCAATTTATGCCTAGATTTTTTTTATGAAGATGATAAATACATTGGAAAAATTTCAGTTAGATAGATAAAACTATTCTTAAACTTTTTTGTCTCTCTGATATTCTTCTAAAAATTAATAATTTCTGAGAAAAAAAAATAATTAAGCAAACACTAACTGTTAAGCTGTAGGGTTGTTAATCGAAAGTTGGAATGAATTTTTAATGAAAAAATCTAAGTAGGCTTTGCAATCTTTGTCAGAAATATTTTTGACGTTTAAATATCAGTGGTTTTCTTACTTTATTATTGTTTTATTTAAAATTTTGAGACGTCGAGTGAACGAGCGTAAATGCGATAGAACTTTATTCAAAAATTAATTTGAAAAACAATAATAATAGTGGGAAAAACTGAAATTTAAACGTCAAAAATATTTCTGACAAAGATTGCAAAGCCTACTTAGATTTTTTCATTAAAAATTCATTCCAACTTTCGATTAACAACCCCGTTGTATAACGGGCAGTGTTTGCTTTACTATTTTTTTTCTCAAAAATTAGTCGTTTTTGGAAATATTTCAGAGAGACAAAAAAGGTTTACTTTCATCTATCTATGTAAAATTTTTCTAATGTATTTATCATCTGCATAAAAAAAAATTTCGCAAAAATGCAAAGGGGGTGGTTACGTTTAGTAGTTTAGAAGGGTAGGTTGAAAGTACAAATAGGGTCAAAACATGCCCTGTTATGAGTTAAACATATTCCCCAAATTTCATTTTCCTAGCGTTTATGGTTTTTGAGAAAAAAAAATTAAACCAAAATTTTCCGCCATTTTTGAAGGGGTGTAGCTCCTTGGGGGAGCCGAAGTCGCCCATGGTTCATATATCAAAGTACCCTTAAAATTCACTAAAGAATCACCCCTTGAAGTTTGTTGCAGTCATTCAGATACACCCTGTATATAAATTTTTATATGATACTCATTTTTATTATTATTCATGAACATAAAAAGCTAAAAACAACAAGCTATTATTTTAATTAATTTTAGAATTTTTTTATTTACTATTTTCTGGTAATATATTTATTTGTTTTATTTTAAAGTTTACCGTTTTGTTGTCGTAAAATATCACAAATTACTCGGGAATGATTGGGAAATGAAAAAGAAAATTTTTGAATAAACTAAATTTATATTGATGTGACGCTGTCCTATAAGCAATTTCTTTATTTGTTTATATGTTCTGAGTAACATTCAATAAGATGTTGAACAAAATTTGAGGTATTGGTTATAATCATATAAGGATTATAACTATTATAACTATTGGGATGTACACATTTACATATACAAAGTAAATTGTATTATTACCAAAATTCTGGTAATTATTTTGCTTACATTTTATCAATTAAGTCTTCTTCAAGTAATCGTAGATAAGTATTATTGATTGAATAAAACGAATCATTAATATAACGTTTTCTCATGACGACTCCAATTATATCTTATTACTACTTTTTCATTCCGTGGTATTTTACTTTTATAATAAAAGTTTCTTTCAACGAAACCCGTAATTTACAAAATAAAAACAAACGAAAACCGCTACTTATAAACTATGGAAAAACTTCATAAGAGTAATTACTGCATTTTAAACGACCGAATATAAGAATCTTTGCTGTGATTCAATTCCATACATTTCAAACCAAATAATCTAGTTAACTAAACAGTTTTAATACGAACCGAATCGGAAAAAATTTATTATATTTTTAGCCTTAAAATGTTTAAAGTGGTAATTTTTGCCTGTAAATTAATCGGCGTCTGGATGTTGTTTAATCCCAAAAAGTCTCCGTGGTATGAAATTTTATATTCAGCGCTAGCATTGTCAGCAGCAACTTTGTTTCTCTGTACGGAACTTTCGGAAACAAGAAACACCATAAATCATATGAACGAATTTGTTTATCAATTAGCAGTCCTTCTGACGCATATAGTTGGGTTTGTAAAATTATTAGCGATTTGTTTTAATCGCGAGAAATTCTGGGGTATTATGGAAGATTTAAAGTTGATGAATGATTATTGGTTGAAAATGGGCGGAAATTATAAAAAGAGGATGGAAATAGCTCAGAGAGAAGTGCAAAAAGTAATAACGTTATTTACTCTTTCCGCAGTAACGATCACAATATTAATGCAATCTGCTGCATTCTTTGGCATACTTTTGGAAGACGAACTAATATTTGAAAATGTCGATGGTACCTGCAGAAGCAAATTGAGCGTTTTCAGTACGATACTATTTGAAACAAAGTCGAAAATGTCTTGCATGTGGGTTTGGTTGTATCAAACGATTCAAATAATTTTGTGCTGCCTAATTATAACTGGTAAATATATTTAATAACTTCTTGAGAAATTAATAATTATTTCGTTTCTTGTAGCTGGAGATATTACATTTTTTTCTTACTTAATGTATGTAACAGCAAATGTTAAAGCTTTACAAGAACATTTTAAAGATATTCGAAGAATTGCTAAAGATAAACTAAAACATACATTTTCAGCTATACATGATGATTTAAATGATGACGATTTGTATTCTAGCCCTGGACTGATTTTTGTTATGGAAGACGAAATGAAAAATTGTTCAAAACACTTACAGTGGTTAATAAAGTAATAGAAAATAATTAGTATTGAGAAAATTGGTTCGTTTATTTACTTTATTTGTTTTTGTAGAAAAGTTGAAGACGTTGAAGATATCTACAATTTCCCGATTCTGCTCCAAATGCTGTGCGCTTTATTCACACTGATGTCGTGTTTATACGTTGCAACTTCAGTACGAATCTATTATTCTAGTTAAATTGTTTTTAGAAAAGTTCATTCAGTCCATCTTAATTCAGCTATGATATTTGAAAAAATTTTACAACCCAAAATTAGATATTGGTCAGATTCACAGAAATAGATTTGTATAAAATTTATTCATAATTGAGTTAACATACTAAAGATAGAATGTTAAGCAAATACCGATGTAAACAACTCCTCCATTGTCATCCATACAGCTTTCCAATATATTCCTAACAAATATCGGTTTTGGCATGTCAAGATAATGAAGAGTGGTGAAAATCGATTTGTGGTTGTAATACATTGATCCTGAATTGGATGCTTTTGACTCGTGCTTATGGTAGACCTTTCAAATGTCAATAATACGCCAAGTTGGCAGGATATAGTCTCGTTTGTTATAGGAATTAACCAGACAAATCGCTCTACCAACTATGAATCTCTGTCAATCCTTGCGGTTTCCAGTATAAAGTCATCTTAAGCCGTAGATTCCATTTTGCATAATTCCCTCGGATCACAAAAGTTTGGTTTCTCAGAAGCAGCCCACCGAGTCAATCTTTATGGTTACAACTCTCTTATGGTCTTGATCAATTAAAGCGTTTTTAAATGGAATTAATGGAATAGGTATACACAAAATACACTGAAAGTGTATTTGATTCCCATACGTTGATGCAAGACTATTTAAAAACTCCCGTGTTGAAAAATTGTTTATCACTTTTGATTTTTTAAATTTTTACTAGACGCCTAAAAATTTGTTACTATGACTTACGTTACTATGTAATAGGTAATAATAAAAAAATACAATATTTTTCTCTATCGATCAACACGCAATTTCTATCTCTGAAAATAATTTTGAACAACTAAATTTTTATAGTCATACGGAAAAGCTATAAAGCTAAAAAGTACGAATCCACGTTTGTTTGAGTTTTTAATCTTTCAGTCGTCTGCAAATATTCAGATTAATTTTTTTAACTTCTTTCTTTATTAAGTAATCCAAACATATTTAAAAATAGAGAGTCATTTTGCAAACACTAATCATATTTTTAATTCCCTATATCTTTGAACCATTATTAAAAATCTTTTTAAGACCTTTTAAAAACCTAGGTAAAGTATCATAAATATGTTTTTAATAGATTACAAATTTTATCAATTTAATTCACACCAATCAACTTGTCCCATAACCTTAGATGTATAAAGCTGCGATTCAGGTCAAAGCTTTTATTAGCAATCAAATATAACTCTATCCAGTTACAACAGTTAACTGCTTATCAAAGTTATTATAATATTGGACAACATACTGCTGCTGAATGGAAGATGTGTGATATCTGTTATTAAGCCGATGTGACCGATGCGCAATTATTCGTATCACATCGATACTATAACGAATAAAGCTCAGTAATATGTAGCCATATATTGTAACTATATTTTTGTAATTCGCGACGGTAACGAAAGCTCTAACAATACTCAAACGGGTGCTGTAATGAGACTCCTTACAGCATCCGATGCTGTAATGAGACTCCTTACAGCATCCGATGCTGTAATGAGATTTTAGTAACATTTTATGGAACCAGTTCAAGTTGGTGACATTGGGTCATTAATTTTTCTAGTTGTCAATGTGACAATTTTTGTCTATGGATGTTTAAACACGTTCTTAGCATCGAATACAAGGTCCACAATGATGAGGACATTGAACACTGAGCAATTTCTCTTATTTTGGGAGATGTACATGAAACATTTTTTTCAGGTGAATACATTTTGTGTTTTGACAGTTTCTAATTGTCAATTCAAATTTCTATTTTCAAGTGTTACGGTGTTACCAACTGCTACGTGAATTACAAAAAATAGCATAAAAAACACATTTCATAAGACTTAAAGCACTCATTCATTAAAAAACTCGTGGCTTCGCCACTCTTGTTTTAAACTTGTTTTTAATATACTATTATTTAATTGTAGCACCTCGGCACAAATTATTTCAGATTAATAAAACAAAATTATATATTTTCCGTTTTCATTAAAGCCGCGACCGCTCGCGACAAGCTGAGCAGTATGTTGATGATCAAAATTGTATTAATATGCATTTAATTGTAGAACATTCTACAGATGATGCTGTCGTTTAGCGGAATACGTTTTCTTTTTTACTATTTTAGTGCTTGCTCTAGATATATTATGTATAAGGTCATTGATAGACAGCACCCTGCTTGAGTTCTTTAGTGATGTGGAAGCTATTCGACACTCTCTGCCTCATTTTCATTCTACCTGTTGCTTGTTGATACAAGTTATTACTACCTTATACCGTTATACTGATGTTTGTTTTTTTGTTTGATTCCTATAACTTGGTATGTAGGTCTATAAACACTAGGTGGCTGATTACACGGTGTTCTTTTATTGTTGATATTCCAGCCTGGAATCCTGCCTAATCGTCTGTAGTCTAGGTCTATTTTGTTGACCAGTATATGGTCATATAATTAATATATTATAGCGTGCCCATCACTGCTACATTTCTGTAACTGTCGCAGTTTTGCATATGTCCGTTTTCATGTATGACAGATATATAGGCAGTGCTCCATTATAAGCCTCAAATGATTGGCAATAGTTATTGTAACATTTTATAAGTTCTGCTGGGCATGTTATGCTCCCGTATATTTATTTTACGTATTTCATCTGGAAAACTATACTTGCTCTTCACAAATGGTGGTCGCTGCTGCATATTCCTTCTCTATAAACTCTTAGGTCCTATAAAGATCTAGATTAGGTTTGTTTTTGTCTCATTGTTGTGGATAAGCCGATTACGGCCTCCCTCTATGGATCCCCATACTCAAAGATATTTAAATAATAAACCTGATGATAGTTTCACGAAAACCAAACGTCAGAGAAAATTTCTAGTTGTGTCATGACATTTTTCATAAAAAGTTACCTTAAGAATGTTTTTTTCAGATTCATGAGAAAACGAAAAATAAAGGAGTTATACGCAAAAAACGAAAATAGTTATTTTTGATACAAGATAGCGAAATGACACTTTTGCATTCGAAACGAAAGATCGTTCGAGAATGCAAAAGAATTTCGCTGTCGTGTATCAAACAACATTTTTTCGAAAACTGAGTATTCTAAAGTTATAAATTAATAAAAAGACCAAATTCTGTATAATGACATTTAGAATTCATTTAATGTTATGTCAAAAACTTAACGTCACATCGATTTAACCTCACTTATTGAACAAATGTACTATTATAAATTTGCATTTAAACGTGAAATGAAATGCGTCCTGGACGTAAAATACTTTTACGTCCTGTTGACAAAAAACTATCGTTTTGACGGTCGCTAAGTACTACGCAAAAGTCAACTATTAATAGCAGTTTTCGAAAAAGTCATTTTTTTGTTTTTCGGTCATATTTTAAAAACTAAAACGGCTAGATCCAAAAACTTCGTTGAAAAACGATGAGCTCTAACATGCGTAACTTTGCCCCCATTTAACCATTTCTGTATCTCTTATGGTTTCTGAGATCCCAATAGTGGGGGTCGAATTTGAATTACCTGTATATACATATAATAAGTAACAGAATTTTGAAATATATTTTGATGCCAATAATAATAAATTAATAACTAATAAATTATTATTTTTTTAGGTTGAAATCTTTAGTACACCTTTCTTGGTTGAAGCTGAAAAGTACTTTATTTTCACCCTGCAAGTCGCGATGTACTGTTTAATTGGAAACAAAGTTGAAGTCGCTGTAGCTATAATATTTTATACCGAAGAAAATCATTCAGATAATTTTTTATTTTGTTGTAGTTTTCGGAAATACCAAATGCAATTTATCATACATCTTGGTACTCAGTAAATAATTCTTTTAAGAAATCCATGATTATCAATATGATTCGATTGAATAAACCAATTGGCTTGACAGTTGGAAAATTTACTGTTTTAAGTCTAGCTTTGCTGGTTAAGGTAAATATTTAGTAGTAATCTAAGCTGCAGGTTTAAAAAAACTTTTTTGTTTAGATTTTACGTATATCTTACTCATTTTTTGCTGTACTGAGAAAGTAAAGAACAGAAAATATAAAAAAGAAAAAATAATAACTTTTATGTTCCAAGTAAAAAAAGGATTTACTTTTATAAATTTTTTATTTTATGCAAAATTACCGGAAATTTAAGAAAATGTAATTTTACCGTAATGTATGTCATACATCCACATTTTCAACTCGCCACTGACATTAGGTATTCCCCGATTTCCTTGGTATTACACAAGGTCTGTTGAGTGTTGGTTATAAGTTATAAGGTTATCCAACTCGAACAAATTAACGTTGACGGGGTGAGGTGGGAAACATGACGTCATTGGAGGAAAAATATAACATAATATAAATTTAATATAAATATAATAATAATATTTATCTACAACTATTGAATTATCTATTCGTTATACAATTGATTTTTGACGGGTAATGACACTCATTACCCATGACAGACAAAGTGTTGAATAATGAGGCTATTATTCCACACTTCTGACACTGCCTACTAATCAAAAAATAAAATATTAACAGAAATGACAGCTTTCTTATATTGAGGTTATGTCTGAAATGTCTATCAAGTTTATTTTTTTTTCGTTTTTTTGATTTTTTTTTCAAAATTAAATAGTTGTAGATAAAGTATAGTATTCAACTTGCGTATAATGGATGTTACCCACTCAGATTACAACACTCGCTCGCTTCGCTCGCTCGTGTTGCAACTTCTTCTTCGTGGGTAACAGCCGCCATTATACGCTTGTTGAATAATATACTATTATATTAATAATTATTTAAAAATTAAACAAGTGTTATTAAACTCCAGAAATAAAGAATTTGTGTTGGTTAGTTGGTTTACGTATATAAATGAAAACATAGAAATGACAATTCTTCCAATGACGTCACAACATGGCCTTTGCGGAGGGGATACGTTCATAACAACAGCGTTCATAGGGAGTTGGATAACCTTATACAGTATGTTTACTCAACGGACCTTGGGTATTACACAAGGTCTATAGAACATATGGTTACCCAATTCCCTATGCCTCTGTAGTATCGATTATTACTCCGCAGAATGACGTCACTGGTTCGATACAGTCAGAGTAGAGTTGAGTAAAAGATAGCCTGTACTGTGGTACAGTCTATATAAAATATTTAAACTTGGCATCGTGTTGTGTTGTTCATCGAACCAGCTACGTCACTGACCCACCTTGCCCCTCAGAGGAGGAGAATCGGCATTAGGTAACCTTATGTTCTATAGACCTTGGGTATTACAGACATCATAGAGCGATTTTAACTGAACTCTTGGACGATAGATGTCTCTTATAGCCAATATTAAACAATATTTTAATCTGTATTTAGATTACCTTACGGGTAATATTACGGTAAAGTAGCAGGTAATGTTACGTAATATTACTTAAATTACCGGTAATATTACCGCGGTAGTATTACTTTTTACATCACTAGTTTCAAGGTTAATTCTTAACCTTTCGTCACAGAATAACCAGAAATGACAGTGAACCCGTCTAGACAAAATGGGGCCTTGTGAATCGCCATTTTATTGGAGTTTATTTTGAGCTAATATCACATCGGTTTATTATTTACTAATAAAAGTTTGACATATGACATATTGACTCCAACCTAAAGTCTATTTATGATATATACATAAGTTTATATAAGTACGTGTATCTCAAATAATTAAATAATGTTTCTTATCATTAACTGTTTGGGTAAATTACTAAGAACGTGTAATTCTGTCCTTAAAATTATCAATAACGATGGATTAAAAAAATTTATATTGCAATTCTACTTTTACATATAAATTGTATAATAAAATAATAAAATAATAGTATAAACACAAAAAAAAATGCTGTGTATAAATAATTCTTTTACGATACAAATTTAAGCGTGTGAACCTGTATTATAAACTCCAATAAAATGGCGGAAACAGTGGAGCCATACATGGCGCCAAAGCATCGAGGTCCCAAACTCGCCAATCTAAAACATCAAACGTTCCGACAAAGCTGTCAGTTCTGGTTATTCTGTGCTTTCGTAACAATCACATAGTTCCTAAAGCAGATTTAGAAGACCGAAACAGATGTCAAACAATAACATGTGTTTGTCATTAAGTGCACAAGAATAATTAGATTATTTAAATTGTTGTATTTTTAAGTAATGATTGACTGTTAATAAAACGAACTCACGTTTTGTTGTTTCAATGAAATCCAGTTTATGATTGGAGTATGCCCCTATAGGTATATTTCACATAACAACAAATTATCGATTTTTTCTCCTGGCAACTTTACATTACTATTACCATACAGCAGTGCTTAAAATTTGAAAATATTCTGATAAGAAAAATAAGTGAGACTAGAACTTTCCAACAATGAACAACAAATATTGTACATTATAAGTGGACAATATTAATACATTAATATACATACATATTAATGTAAAATCTTACATTAATATTGTAAGATTTTTGGTATTACTACTATCCGTCCAAAAAGTTAACGCCTCTCAGTTTAGAGATTGATATCTTCGTAATCCCTCGAACATATCTACACATATCTACGTAAAATGTGAATTTAAAAATTTTTGGCTCAGTGGTTTTCATAATATCGCGAGTTAAATGAAAAAAGTCTCTACCTTTTTCTCAAAAACTGACGAAAAAATTACAATTTTGAACAGCTTGATGAAAAAAATTGCGGTAAGATTTGTTGCAATCACTGAACTGAATTTCTACGACGGCAACTATGTCCACTTTAAGACTTCTTTTTTCAAAAACTATTACGAAAAATTACCTTAAATTAATTAATCTGAGTAGTATAGATTCGCCGATTCTAGAATCTCCTCCTCGAACCTGCGTTCTAGGAGGAGGTTCTTGAATCGGCAAATTTTTTGGGGGTCAGAGGATGTTCGATGACGAGTGGAGGTTCTTGAATCGGCGATTCTTTTAGGGGTCGGAGGAGATTCGATGACGAGTGGAGGTTCTTGAATCGGCGATTCTTTTAGGGGTCGGAGGAGATTCGATGAGGAGAGGAGGAGGTCATTAACTTGAGAAGGTCATGTTATTTTGACGAAATTATTAAAAATTTATCTTTATTTATGAAGGTCATGTTATTTTGACGAAATTATTAAAAATTTATCAACCTGTTTACCTAGATGAAAACAATTACTATGTTTATCCTTCGACGCTTCTCAATGAACTGTTAATGTCTTCGATATATCTCTTAATTTATTATTATACACAAAGGTATACGGTTTTGAGACATGTAGGTATACAAATAAATGAGTCATGACTTACCTGCGAGATATTTGTTTTTAATTTATTATGTAAAGGTATACGGGTATTTAAAAATATGCGAGTAGGTTCTTCAATCGGCAATTTTTTTGGGGAGATAGGTTCGAGGAGGAGGTCAACTCTCTGAGGAGGAGGTCAACTACTTTGTTAGTAGAGTCATGATCTACCTGCGAGATATTTTTTTAGGAGCTTCTTAATAAATTTGTCATGCGTTCTATCTGACGTCTCACGATATAATGTCGTGTTAGAACATGTATAATAGATATATTCGGTAATGATGTGAAACATCACTCCCCCCACCAACAACCTTATGTATTGCTATAAATACAAACGTTGGTCGAAGTTGTACCGCAGAGTGTTGTGCTTCAGAGTAAGGTTTTTGTGTATTTAGTACATATTAAAAATATCGTGTAGATTTTTGGTGCATTTAGTACAGAGGATTTTTAACGTAACGAGTNTTACGCGCCGTTAATTGGAATCGATTGCACGTATCAACAGGAAGCAATACATAAAAGCGGAGTAGAAATAAAAATCGAGTATTCAACGAAAAATCCAATTCCGGAAGGTACGACAGCTTACGCATTAATTCTGCATGACAGAGCATTTGTGTATTCGCCTCTTACGAAAATGGTTAAGCAATTAATATAGTGGTACTGCTGAAGCAACGTCATTTAGTGTATCTATAAACATCGAAGGAAACGTTTGCATATAGTGGTTTATTATTATTATTATGGTTTTTCAAAGGGATTTTATTATTTTGGACATTCAAGTGTAATGGAAAAATACCTTAATAGATTTCATAAATTAAACCATGTGCAATCTTACGCCAAAGAAAGGAAATATCATATATTGTGGACGACAGCAATTCGGCCGTCGACGTAGGTAATAGGAATAAGTAGAATAGAATAGTATGGGAAATCTTAAGCAAGCTCTCATCGATTAAACTCGCGACCGGTGTAATTGTATTATAAGGAAAATAGAATATGTTTTAAAATCAACACAAGGTTTCACGGCAAACGATGAAGAATTTATCCCAAAGGAACTGGCTTCTTACGACAATAATCATTGTATAAGTCATTACGTGTTTCAACATAGTCGAAGCTTTTCTTCCCTATCTACCAAATTTCGCAATACGGCGAATTGGTTAATGAGTCATCATCATTGTATTGATTGGAACGACGGGTTTGTTCCTGCGTCTCGTTTCGATGAGATCGTTTGTTATTTGTGCCGTTCAACAAAAGTAGCGTACGTAAAAGGACGCGAGAAAGCTATATTTTTAAGAAGAATTTTAACAATACCGGTAAAAGAATTGCCGGAAAATGAATGCAAATTGGAGGTTGGTGCGCCGATGTGTCTCTATATCATAAAAAGAGACCAAGTATGTGCTCCTTGTCGAATGTTTTTTATTTATTTTCATACGTATTCAGAAATCTATAACTATATGTAAACGAATTGAGAAAGGCAGACGAGTAGTAGCGGTAGAGCGGTTCAAGATGGAACGTCTTTGGCGGTTAGTTACTAGATTGGGACTTTCAACTTTTATAATTAATAAAGTGTGGGGTATTATGGAAAGATACGAATCGATATAAAGTAAAGATATTACATGGCGATCCTGCCAGCCCTGGACATTAAAAACTAGTAATATTATGTGTAAA